ATAACAAAAGTACATCTCAATACTTTGTTATATACCCTTTGTTGGCAATGACGGAGGTCAAACGTTTCCTGTTAGTCTTCACACACCGTTCCTCCATGCGGATCTCCTCTAGAGCAGTGATGTTTTGGGGCTGTCGATTTTCTATGGGGTTGAGATCTGGTGACTGGCTTGGCCACTCCAGGACCTCGAAGTGCTTCTTACGAAGCCATTTTTTTCTACATTCCTCCTGTTCGGAGGATTTATATATTTTTTTTAAACTGACTTTTTGTTCCCTTTTTCTCATATCTGGTGATTGTAATTTGTTTGGGGCAGAGATAGAGGCAGGAACCCGGATGTCTGGAAGCTAAACGCTTCCATGCTCATATTTAACGCCCACCATCGTTTTTTCTGTCTGGCGGTTCAAGTTCAAAGTGTGGTTGGTGGTGTTTCTGTGCTCGTCTCCTCTCTCCGGACACACTGATGTGTGGAGAGTCAGCGGGCTGACGAGAGCCTCCGCTGCCTCGGCTCTGGCTGGACCTGAATCACCTCATTCGGTCCCCTAGAAGACGCCCGTCTGCCGCGTTGCTCTTCCAGGCTGCGGCGCGTATCGCTTTCCCTCCCGTGTTTTGTTGTTTTGTTACTCTTTGCTTCCTTCTGGTTCGATCAACACCTTCAACCGGTGTTGCGTTTCTTTCGTTTAGCTCAGAAGCCGATGGATTGTGTTTAGTTGTGTTTTTTAAAAATGGCTGCCTCCAAACACCGGCGGGCTCGGTCACGCCACGAACCGGGTCAACGAAAGACGTCCGCCCACCAGCGGCGGGGGCGAGGCGCTCTGCGCGGGGCTCCCGCGGTGCCCGTAAATGGGTTTGCATCCGCTGCAGTTAACTCGCCCGGTCGGACGGGAGAACAATGGGCCGGTTTCTTTTCAAAGAGAGAGCGAGACGTCATTATCACCGGAGCTTTCTGGCAACTCTGCCTCACACCTACTCCTTGTTCCACCGGCTCGTCGGATTTCCCTCCGGCTGAGAGCCAGGCACATGTCAAGCAAAGAAAAGGCCGCAATTATCCCTTCACAGGCTTCCTGTTTCAGCTCCTTATTCCCGCCGTTATTTCGCGGCGCGTCGGTTCTCTTTTCTTCAGGAGCCAGTCGTGCCGGGAGACAGCGGCGCAGGTTCGGCCTGCGTGCACTTTGCTCCTCGGCTTCATGCGGTGTTCTACCGCTGAAAGGCTGGGACTCAGTTCCCCCCCGGCGTCTGTCAAAGAGCGTCTGAAGGAACGAGGCAGAGCTCGCGCTCGTCGCTTTCACATCCGAGGCGGCTGGGAACACATTACACATCACGTCTGACGTTGATTGGTAAAATGAATGATCAATGAGCGGAAGGACGTTAACCCACAGAGCGGAGGAGGGGTCGACGACGCTCTCGCCCGTCTCCAATGACACCACAGATCTGAGTGCGAAGAACAAAAAGCGCCGTGTTCATATTTTTAGAAACAAAACCCGAGAACAAATGAGATGTTCACATGGGACATAAAAGTTCTGTGATTTAAATAGCATTAAGACTCCGGATCTTTTTTTAGGGGGCTGTAAAAAATGTTAACGGTCCACTTCATGTTGTTGGCATTATTTATTAATAAAAATACTTTGGGTCCTCAATTCTGTGATCACGCTGCAGACAGTTAGACTCACACTGAGCACTTCCCCCCAGACTCCTTTTTATGTGATGATGCTCGATCGATGGGACGGGAAATCATCATTATATAATTGAACGCTTAAATAAATTGACACAATTGATTTTGCTCCCTCAAAAATGATTTCATTTAATAATCAAATTGAATACTGAACTTGTCCTGCTGGAAGGCACCAATCAGAGGCTTTAATCACTTTCATTCATTTAGCCTTAGCAAGTTACATGGAGGTATGTATAGATAAATAAATACCATTATTCAAACATCAATAAATAAATTAAAAAATACACAACTTATTGTCCCATTTATTTGTTGTTCATGGAGGCAATTAATAATAATTTTTCTTTACATTAATTAACATGACTTATTTATTTTTTTAGGCCTTTAAATATGTTTTAAGCTGAATACAGCGTCTGCGATGGGGGGCAGGGCGGGGGGGGGGGGGCTTTTTGTGGCAAAAGTCGGTACACACCAAAGGAAAAATTACAGAGCTTCCCGACTATAAAAGGAAAGCTGTCTTTTATGTCACAAATTGCTGATACTTTGATTATGAAAGTGAATTTTCCATCTTCTATTGAGTCATTGAGGTTATATGTTCATCAAAAGCAATGTAATGCTTTCTCAGATATTCTCTTAAGCCATTTAAATACAGACAATAAGAGTGTGTCCATCACATTTGATCTTTTAATGACTGCCCAAACCCATCAACCCTTTGCCGTGAGGTCCCTCTGAAGCGTGATTAGAAGCCCTGTCCCCTTTTTGAAGGCGGCTTTTATTGGAGAAATCAAAAGTCCCGCTGCTCAAAATATTCAAAGATGTTAAGCTTGGATGTCGCCGAGATTGTTCGCCGAGATAATGAAAGACCACTTTTATGTTAAGTCAGGAGGAGAGAGCTGTTAGCCGTGTGTGCTGCCGCCAACGAGAAAGCCAACGGGATGGCGTGAAGTGGATTGAGCTCGCTGATGCACATGCGGCACAACATGCGGCACAACATGCACCACAACATGCACCACAACATGCACCACAACATGCACCACAACATGCACCACAACATGCGGCACAACATGCACCACAACATGCACCACAACATGCACCACAACATGCACCACAACATGCACCACAACATGCACCACAACATGCACCACAACATGCACCACAACATGCACCACAACATGCACCATAACATGCGGCACAACATGCGGCACGTGCCGCATGGTCTTTGAAGCAGGCCACACCGTATGTGCACTAATGACTATGTACAATAGTGCTTATCTTTCATTTAACACGTGGGACAAGACTGTTTTAAATAGCACAATATTCATCCAGGCTGCATGTGGAAAAATAAAATGTACCTGTAGATGCCGGACTTGATGAGTGAGTTGTTTGATTTCTGGTCATCTTTCAGGAGCAGAATGTCTTCATTCAGAAAACTTCACAAGTCAAATGCTCTTTGATCCGTCTTGAATGAGGAGTTTGTTGTGACCCAGTTTAGTCAGCCGGACACTAACCTACGAGACGGCAACGCACACACACACACACACACACACACACACACACACACACACACACACACACACAAAGTCCTTCACCTAGCTTGCAAAAAAGAAGTTGGTGAAAACTTTGATGTGCTTCTTTGGGTCGGACACAAAATGCTGAGATGACAAGTCCCCCGTCCATTAGCAGAGTTGTCTGCTCCCATCTCGTCAGCCCCCCCGCTGAATGAGCGGTCCTTCCTCCGGGCAGCTGCTGCTCCTCGTACACACAGGTTCCCGTGTGTCCGGGGTGGAAACGACTCCTTTAGCTTCGCACCAGCGTTTCATAGCTTTCAAAGGTCAAAAGCCCCGCGGTGCATTGTTCTGTTGTGTGATTAAAAACCATTGGACACCAGCCTCGGATTAGCAGCACTGCCCACTTAGTGGGTATCCATTTAAATGATGGTACACGGCCTGAAATCATTCTATTCAGCTACTGTGAGGAGACATTTTCACTTTCCTTGTAATAACATCACCGGCGTCAAGACGTGTCTGTCTGCGAGGCACTCAGGACGGCTGACTAAGCCCCCGTTGGCAGTCTCCTCTTAATTGTTCTCTAGGATGTCCCATTTTTCCATGTTTTTTCCAGTAGCGTAGACTTGCACAGTAGCATAGACGCTGACACAAGAGCACTCGGTGAAATCAAAATACAAAGCACCCGTCATTATTGGCTCGTTGCAGCGTGGTATGTATGATTGTTTGTTGACTGCACCTCTTAAAAGCACACGAAATGACGTGAAATGTCCTATTAGAAGGACAGTCCATGAAGGGGTCGTAAGGACCTGGCTTCATACAGTGATATGTTATACATTGTAATATTTTAACGTGGCAAAGGTCTTCTCACGGTTTCACTTTTCGTTTCAGCTGTTCCATAACTGGCTTCATATACACGTTACACTGATTATTATTGATAACAAATCACACCGTGCAAATCATTTGTGAAAGTCAACCCTCCAATATCGTCACAATGTCTATAAGTTTATGGCCAGAAAACTTGATATTTGATCAATGTGATATTTTACCCACTGATTCATGGTCCCAAGAGGATGTGTCCTGAGGACTTATGTGATCCTGCCGCTTTTGGTCCGTTCTGCTAGTGGTTCAGAGTCTCCACTGATATATTAACTTCAACAGCGTGTATCGGCGTAAAACTTTTTCTACAGCTTTGATACTTGTTTACCAAACATTCATCTTCAGATTCGTCCATTTCAAAAATCCATTTCTGTTTTTATGTACCTGAATCTAGACTGTGTGTGTGTGTTTCGGTTGTTGGGCACCTTCTCTTGGAATTAATTTCTCACAAGCCGCCTCTCGCTGCTTTCCACTGTGAAAACGGGAGCCGTCTCTCGCTCTCTTCCCTGTAATGGGCTCATCGTCGGCTCCCTCTATCTTTTGAGAGTCTGAATAAAGCAGCTAATGGTGCATGAAAATGGCGGCGCCCCCCCGCCGCGCCTATAGCCAGACCGTCTCCTCCTCTGCTGTGTGTCGATAGCATTTAAGTGAAAAGACACATTTACAAGGACGTCATTCTTTCACCCATCTCATTAATTTATCGTCAAGCTCTGTAAGAGCTCAGTTGCAAATAAGTGAAGAGAAAAAAAAGACAGAATACAGAACAGCAAGCTGTTCCTTCTATTAACTTTATTAACTAATTATTTGCATATTTGATAAATACGTTCTGGTTTTGTCAGCCTCTCAAACGGGTTTTGGTTCGTCGTTGCATTCATGTTTGAGGATATTGTGTCGTATATGATGATGATGATGATGATGATGATGATGATGGTGGTGGTGTTGTGTCCCCAGGTGTACATCCGTATCCTGGACAACGAGTGGAACGTGTACAGACGTTACACCGAGTTCAGGGAGCTCCACAACCACCTGAGGACCCAGTTCCCACAGGTGGACACCTTCAACTTCCCCCCCAAGAAGGCCATCGGGAACAAGGTGAGCTGCGCGTTCCTCCTGAGGAGCGGTTACAGCATCTGTCAAACGGTACCAACAATTCGAAGGGCCCAACCTCCGTTTGGGTGACTTAATCCGGTGTCTTATTAAGGTTTCCAGGTTAATCGTTTCAATGGGGTCTTGATAAAGGGGTCTTAACCACACCCTCTATGGCTACATCAGGCAAAGTTTCCTATTCTCAAAGTCAAGGGGTCTTCGGTTGCTAACAAAAAGTGTGACTGCAGTAGTTGCCGGGGTTGTTGCACAAAATAAAATAGAGCATTAAGCTGTAGCTGGACGTGCTAACATTTCAGCTAATGTTTACCTGACTCTTGCTGTTGCGTCTCGGATCGGTTCAACACGCCGCCCTCTAAAGTTTATTTCTTACCACGGCCGCCAGTGTGGACGAATCCAAAGCTCGGCTGACGCGCTGCGCCTGGTGGTGGTTGCTAAGCTCCTCCTTCATAGGGAGGCTGCAGTGAACGCGGACACCGTCCCCACACCACACAAAAAAAGAGGCATGCCGGCCCAAAAGAGTGGCAGCGAAGAAGTCCCTGTTCCTCCTTCGACACACGCACAGCCTCCCTCTTCCCTCCTCTCCACCACACGTCTCTATTGCTCACTTACCTGTCTAGTTACCAGGAGATCTCTCTCTCCCTCTCTCCCTCTCTCCCCCTCTCCCCCCCTCTCCCCGCTCTCCCTCATTCTGTTCTCCTCCGTCTCCCTCCAACATTTGGGAGATAATTTCGCTCTGACCCCGTTTCTCTGGTTTGGTGGATTTGACACCGGCCCGACTCCCCACATTCAAAGACATGTGCGCCGTCACAGCTACAAAAGGGGCTGAGCGCCGATGTGCAGGTGCTGCGGTTGTGAGAAGAGGTTGTGTGTGTGGATTCGGGGGGGGGGGGGATGTGGTGTCTTATCAAAGGCTTCCGTGCCATTGTGTCCTGGAAAGCTCTCTGAAAGCCCATTTACGCTGCAAGCGTGTGTGAATTATTGGTTCTCCACCATCTCCAGGAAGTAACCACACCGAAGGCGGCGGCGGCTTTGTGGCTCTCTGCCACCGGGGAGACCAGCACGCACCTGAGTAACTTAACAGCGGACTCCATCCCGTTGGCCGTGACCTCGCTGCGGTGTGGTGGAGGTGTACTCGGCGGGGGCGTGCGTGCCGAGCTGTGTGATTTTCCGTGTTTGCCACGTTGTAGTGGTAATTCAATCGTTATTAATAACACTCGCATGAATAGTAGACCTTCTCGTCTACCAGGTTCTTGTTCTCATGATACGTCACACGCTCATGGAGCCGTTTCTTTGTCTTCGTCTCATCTTCTTTATGTTCCCAAATGACCCTTTCCTGTGTTTGCCATCATGTGATTGTCTTTTTGTTCGAAGTAGATTCATTTAAAAGCCTTTCGAGGTCCCTTCCGCGCCCACTCCCTCCATTAACAGTTTCTATTACCCCACAAATACACCGGCCCACAATGACGGTGTCATCAGGTGTGCACTGTGGAGACCAGCGTCCCTGTCAGTTTGTCTCCCAGGTCAAGACTAAAGCCTAAAATGTCGACAGAAGCTGAAGACCTCCCTGCCTTGTTTATTCTCTTTAACGGGAGGCCCACTCGCATGAAGACATCACGTCTCACAAAAGGATTGTTGCTCAACAAACCTGCAGGCGCTCGCATGCTCAAGCTCAGGTCACAATTACGGTATTTGTTGTGGTTGGTTCAACGTGTCAAGAGGAGCAAGAGGAAATAATCCAATGTTGCAAATAGCAGCTGGCATTCCGATCCTTTCTTCCAACTCACTCGATATCATCGGATCATCCATCAGCTGCATCCCGTATGCACCACGTGTGGTGTCCTGTGGTGTCGTTTTGGGTTCTGTATTGTTAGATTATTAGATATGTTATATATGTATTAAGAGTCTCGTGATCAACATTTTGAACATTCCTCTAACAGCGGCCTCGCACGAAGTATAGATGCGGTTTAAAGCACAACCAGCTGGTGTGTTTCATGAGGTTCTTTAAGCTGTAAAATGAATTCACTGTAATCGTGACCTCAGACGTCTCAAATGAGCTGCTGTAGCAGCAGAAGTTTTAGAGGAACTTGCCAACAAAGAAAACCGACCTCAAGGCCGTGGAGACCTGACGGAAATGAATGAGCGAGCAGGTGGAGGGCTTTTTAGCTCAAAGATAAGTACCAGATTGGTGAAGTGTGTGTGTGTGTGTGTGTGTGTGTGTCTTTGTGCAAAACATGAATTTCTCTGAAAGCTGAAGCAGCACAGCATGAGAGAGCAGTTGTTGTGAGTGTGTGTTTCATTGGCTCTGTGTGTGTGCATTTAGTATATTCCGGTGTGTTGATTGTGTGTGTGTGTGTGTGTGTGTGTGTGTGTGTGTGTGTGTGTGTGTGTGTGTGTGTGTGTGTGTGTGTGTTGCGTTTCCCTGCTATTTCCATCCAGTCGGTGTGCGTTTCTCGGCTCTTCTTAAGATGAGGAAGGGAGGAAAGCTGCTGCAGGAAGGAAGCCTGCTGAGATATTTCACCCCCCACACAAGGAGCTGATACTTTGGATAGGGTTGTTTCACTTATTGAGTATGTTTTAAGTGACGCTAACTTATCGGACGGGGCGCCCCCTTTGTTCTTTGGGAGGGGAAACACTACACCAATTTCTCAGCAATCTCTGTGAAGCCACTTTGTCCTAATTGGGTATGAAATTGGTTCCTGTAAATCCAATAAACTCCCCGAAAGCCTCGGTGAAGCTGCAGTCGGACCCGAGCAGGTGTTCTTGCAGAAATGGCACGTGAAAGAAACAAGAAAGGAAAAAATAACTAGAACAAGAAACTCAACCTTACTCCATGTGACCTCGATCCCGAGCTGCACTCGTTCAGTCCCAGATACCAGCCGACCGTCCTGCTTACCGTCTGTGCAGATGATGGTCCGAGGATCATTGTAATTCATGTATTTCTACTTTTTACACCCTTTAACTCAACCTCCATTTGTTGATCTTGGGATTTAACATGAACGTAAACAGCAAAATGTTGACGAAAGGTGCTTCTGCGTTGCATCATCTCCTCCAGTGCCTCCGCGTCTGCTCACGTGTTATTTCTTTTTAGTTTCCATTTTTTTTTCACCTCTTTCGCGCTTTCATTCGTTACAAAGGGACACTTTGGTTACGGCGCTCTCTCCCCAAAAGCTTATTTTTAAGACACACACGGGGCCTCTCGCTATGATGTGTGGCGAACGATGAGACCATCAAAAGCTGTTTAACGACGCGCGCCGTGAATATCTGCCGCGGTTCTCTCCGGAAAAGGATGAAACGTGCCAACTGTCAGTTGAGATCAGGTAGTAGAGCAACACGCACGCACACACACACACACACACACACACACACACAGCAGCAGACTCTACTCACACCATTGCGTGACAATGACACTCTGTTTCATCATCGCGCAGAATGATTGACAGCTGCGAGGGAAACACGGCTGCAGCTCTGCTGTGGATTTAAGTCCGTAGAAGTCTTACTTCCCCATGCGAAGCGGGTAATTTACACGCTTCTGTGAGATAATGTATGCGAACACTTGACTGACTTCTCAGGCAGCTCGCGTGCCAGGACCCCGCTATTGGACGCTGGGGGCTAATCTCCCGCCTCTCGCGCGGTGTCGGGGCTCGTCAATGGCGCTAGCGGAGGAAGGGAAGGCGAATCGCAGAGGCGGCAGCCGGGCGGGACTGGCACACCGGCAGAGACGGGAGTGTGGAATAGACTCGTGCAGATGTCCGTACTCTGTATTGTTCTCTCCACCATCTTCCAGCCAGAGACCATTTAGGACCATTAGCAAATATTCTGGTTTCGCCCCTTTCATATATTATATATTTGCTTGTGTACTTGCTGCAGTGGACCAGCAGGCGAATCTGCAAGAGATCCTGCAGGAGCAGTTCTATGTGGAAGTTATCAGCAAACACCATTTAAATAATGGTTATAATTTACAATGATAATAATCATAATGAATACCTTTCAATGAAAGAATAATCCGCCTTTTGACAGCCACACGCTTCAGTTACATGGAACCAAGTTCCCTTTCATGACTCTCCAATAAACCGTGATGTTTTGGTCACATTCGCAGCTGAAGCGCCGCCTGAGCACGCCTAATGGCGTCTGCCTTCATCGGGCCGACGCTTCGTGCTGTGTTGTCTGATCAACGTTGCATTAGGAAATTAGGAATGAATTTCTTACAATGCGAGAAATCTTCCAGGTCAAGGATCTAGATCATAGCGAGGGATCCCTGCTGGATTTAATTAGCTGCTCTACGCAGCGGTTTCACACCCAGACGGGGGAGGTCGGACACAGGCATTCATTATTTTTCCCCATGACCGTGCCAATTATCTACGAGTGCTTTGTGACACAGTTCCACATCTGCATGCCCACGATCGCCCCAAATACCTCTGCGCTCACAGCGTGTACCGTAAGTGTTGAGGTGGTAACTTGATTTTTATATATAGTTCTCTTCTTTGATTCCAAAGTGGGCTCTTTAAAGCCTTTCGGAAGCTATTCACGGAACTTTCAGAGAAACTTCAATTGCTCCTCGAACAGTGAGGCAAAATAATGTGAAAACCTCTGATTGCATTTCGGGGAAGTGAAGCCTCGTCATTACATTTTTATGATCTACAACTCCGGATCGAATTGTGGGGAAGGAAGTTTGAGATTGCGTGGTTGACTTTTGAGAGACATTGCAGTCATTTAGTCAGATAGATGCACATGGAGCCGTAAGGCTTCGGTGTGATATTTGAAATAGGAAATTGACGTCCTCAGCCAAACACAATCTATAGACGGCCGATCACGTATGAACACACGTGTTAGTACGCAAGAGGAAAGCTAACGACAAACTGAAGAGACGGATAATATGAACCAGAACCAAGTTCCAAAGAGATCAGAGGTGAACTCGGAGGTCAAGGTACGTCAGTGTCAGATCGCACCATCCGTCGCTGGCGGAGCCGAAGTGGACCTCGTGTAAGACGCCCGACGACGACACTCTTCACACTGTTGAAAGCAAATCCTAAAAAGCAGCAAGACAGGAATTGGCCAAAATGCATACTTATTCATTTATTGATATGGACAAGCCCAAAAGAGACAAAACTGGAGCTTTTTGCAAAGTTCCGTTAGCTTTATGTCCGCAGACAAAGAAAAGCTGGAGCTGTTTGACGAAATCTCACTTGGATTCATTTCATTTAGAAAATGGCTCGTGTCTCATCGGCCGGGGGCCTTTGACCCCTGACAGCGGCAGGCTCTGTCGCCGCCGAGACGGTGCCTCATTGACTCGGCCTGTGCATCTGTGTCCTGTCCGGTCCCCCTAATGAGACTTCCGCCGCCGTGTCCCCGAGCGCTTTAGGAGAGACTGTCCAGCTGCACAGATGCACGCGCGCTTGCCGGGGCGGCTCCTAATTAACCAGCCGGTTTCTCGGGGGGGGCCCGGGCCGGCCGCAGAGGCTGAACGTTCCCCAAATGCGTCTGTCAAATTCCCCCTGACGCTGAGACCGAGAGGCCTGAATGGCTACATGGGCGTCCCGTTGACGTCAGACCCCGTAGGGCACTCGTGTCCAAAGGCGCCCGTGATTCTGTCTTTTTTTTAATCCGCCGCCCTTTATAGCGATTTCTCATTTGCCCACTTGTACCACCGCCTCCCCCTCCCGCTCTCTGAAGTCACTCACCCGCCTCAGGCGCCGAAACAAATAGCTCCATTTCTTGCTTTTTATCTCGTCACCGTTCTCTACAGGCCGCTTCGGCAGACGTCGTGGTTTTTCTCTTTCCATGAGCAAAGTATTTTCAACATTTATCTTCTCAAGTTCTGACATCAACAGTGGCTTTTCATTTGTTTGGGCTGTTTAGAGGCTTGTAGCCTTGAAAATGATCAGTCATTTTGAGGCAAAAGTTCAAATTTTGTGGCTTATTTGCCTATTTTTTTGGCACAAAGTTAGCTGGGACTTTCTGTCAGTTGAATCTACCACTAGCAGTCATGTAGCCTGAGGGCTAACCCGGTAAGAAAACCCACCGCAACCTTTTCTTTAATCCTTAGACTAATAGGTTGCCATTCGGGAGGGACGTGTGCCAGACGTCTAGTCACTGGGGACTGACTTGGTTGAACGTGGGGGTTCAACCAAGTCAATTGGAACAATTCACCGCGTCCATTTTGAAGGCGTGATCAGCATCAGCCAATCAAATACCAACTCGTTACCAACAGTATATTATTGAAGTCTATAGAAGCACAGATGACATTTACACAGAGTATTAGACGAAAACAGTGATTCAAATCATTAGTAGATGCATTATTCAATATACAAGCTGTTTGCTTTAATGTATCCATGCAACAAATTATTTTGGGTCCGGATTGTTGTAATTATGGTAACACAAAGCGTTGGTAGGTAACCATAGCAGAGGAAATGGCAATTACACAAGTGCCCCGGGCAGTCGCCCCGTCAGCACAAAGAAGAGTGCCAAGGCTGCGCTGATTAATTAATCAGAAACTACAAAGTGAATTATTAACCAGTTCCTAGTGTGTTGTGTTCTCACATTATGCAATATACATGTTTTACGCCCTTTAATTATGTCAGACAGACCATGCAGAGGGCTTGTTTGAGCGTTCCTGAATCGCCTGTGATGTTTAATGCATGTCCCGGTGTGGCAGAGCGGCCCGCTCGGCCTCGCTGCCGACTTGACCTCGTTTTGACGCCAGCGGGTCCCGACGTGTTCCAGTGCACTTCAAACGGACACTCGGGCTGCCGGCTTCGACAAGTGTGGACTCGGAAAGTTCTGGGGTGTTTTCTTATTTTTTTTGCACGTGTTGAGCTGAGAATTTTTTTTTGTTTTCCAGAAAATACGCCGGACACAAATTGCCGTATTCTCACACGGAAAATCCGACAAGATCAGTTCTGGGTCGGCTCCTTGTCAGTGTGTGAAACGCCAAGACAGCAGCTTCCTGGGCAAGAAATGCAGAATGGAAGTCTTGGTCAAAAGCACTGACTTTCTGGGAGGAGAAAAAAAAGAGCGTTACTTTTTAGTTCTGGTCTTTTTTCAATATGTAGTTTTTCAAACGTGCTCTTGGGATATTGTTTTTTTTCATCCCCCAGAATTATTATAGAGACCCTGGCGCATAAGTGACTAGTTTTTCTTCCATGGACTTCCCTTCTTCTGTGAAGTGAGTGACATTCAGCTGGTGTGTGTGTGTGTGTGTGTGTGTGTGTGTGTGTGTGTGTGTGTGTGTGTGTGTGTGTGTGTGTGTGTGTGTGTGGGTGTGTGTGTCTTAGACTGTATATATTCATCCAGTTTCATAGGATGGCGCCACATCGCCCCATATGCTGCTGATAAGCATGAATAAAGAAACGTCTCATAGTGAACTAGAAGCCATTACGTGAATGACTTCCAGAGGTGAGGACAGATTAAATGTCCATAAACTATAAGTGGTTCCCTAAAAAGGCGGACAGTATTAACTTCTGATGCGCAGCGATGGCAGCGCCCCAGGGCTTTTATTGTGAAAGGTGAGGACACACAGAGGAGAGCTGCATTTCTAAAGCGTTACGTGCTGGCCTTGTCAATGTGCCTCCACATTGAACTTATTGAAACTTGTTTTGCGAAATGAAAAGATGCAATAAATGTTATTTCTGCTGTGATGCTCGGCCCGAAATACAGACATCAATTTTGCACCACAACCCGCGGATGTGTTTCAATCACACAGATCGGCCTCGCTCACCTTCATGCTTTGTATGTTGGTACGTGTCCTTTCCCATATGATGAATAATACTGAACTGATTGAGAGAGAGAGGGCCGTGTCGAGATGGATGCTCGAGGACAGAAGGCACTGGAGTTTCAGCAGGCAGCACCTGGCCTCTTCGGGCGGCTCTGCACCAGAGGACGAGTCCGTCAGCGCGTCCATTAGCCTCTTTACCGCTCTGACATGCATGAAAGCGGTCAGTGTGTCCCTTGTGGCGTCGACGTGGCATGAAACCCGCGCTGGCATGCTCACCCTAATCTGACACATCAGATCTAACCGGCCCTACGCGGGGCGACGGTGGACCGCCCATGTGACCACATGGGCCTCTGTACTGCCCGTCCACTCTGTCGGGTTCGCAGTGGGGAAATGTGACTATTCTGCAGCAAAAAATACCTAAAAATGATTTGTGAATTCACTCTGCAGACTTTCATTTGCTTTTCTCTTGTTTTTTGAGATGGATCAAATCCAACCAAAGCTATGGGTCATAATTATTTTCATTTTCTTATCATTACACAGCAAACCCCCGTTCCCGGGGTTTGCCGACGTCCTCAGACAAAGGGGGAGTGTCTCTTACACGGCCGTGGTCCTTTCTCATCACACCAAAGCACTCAAGCGCTGTAGTCGGCCGCACAATTCTCTGCATGGCGTCCCAGGCTTGGAAAGCACAAGAACCGAATGAAACTATTTCCTATATGAAGGCCACGTCTCGGTAAGAATTGGGGGAAAAAGTTGTAGGTTTGCACAAATTATTTTGAAAAGGACTGTTTTCTCAACCTGTGTCAATAAAATGCTGATTTGCACACCGATTACACCGTTAAGGTGTAAACCCTGAACACAAATACCAGCATTATATGTCTCCTTTAAATGTTCAAGTATTCAAGATGAGTTGTAGGGTTGCCAGTAGTGCATCGAAGTGTCAAGTAATGAAATGAACTTTGGTTAACGTACTGATACCGTTTATAATTAAAAATGAGTTTTTAAATGTTTTATTTTCCTTTGGATTGTAGGAGTTAGATTAAACACTATTTTTTATTAAAAAAAACATTTTAAAATAATTGCTTCCAAATGCAGTGTTGCAGTATTGCAATTTCTACTTCCACACTACTACCATTTCCTCTTATTTTATTATATTATCAAATTAAAGGCCATGCACTCTTGTTTTTTTTGGTTGAAAGCATCACAAGTAGAGCGAATGTAATATCCCGGCTCCTGGGAAAGTAGCAGGTAGCTCATTGAAACCCCCCGATGCGCGTCAGATGTTAACAATTTATAAACAATCCGTAATCTCATAATTGCCCTTGTTGACTAATGAATTTGAACCGACATCAGCCTTTTTGTTTTCCGTGCTGTGCGGCACCGGGGCGCCGCGCACAGATTAACCAAAACTGTATTTCAAGGAGAGGAAAGCGGGTTCACTCGTGTGTTGGGTTTTCCCAACAAAAGGGAAGACAACAAATGTTGGCGGCGGTTTGTTCCGGTCCCGAGCTCCAGAGGGTGGAGCGGAGCGCCGGCCGGGCTTTGTTCTGAGCCGGACGCTGTGTGAAACAGGTGTGGATGCTCATTTCAATAAGCCTGCTTTTCACTTCAACGTTTCAGCAACCAAATAAAAAACAAACAAAAGAAACGCAAATATGTGAGGTGTGTTGATCCCCTGAGGTCTGGGCCGTGTGTGGAGGAGCGGGGAAAACATCCTCCACTGCGAGTCGGCACTGATCTATGCGCAGTAATCCCTTCTCCAGATTATCTCGGATGTCTATATTTAGCATCCTCGCTGCGGCTTTTCAGGGCCTAAAAGTTAAGGGAAAACGTCCTCAGTCCGGGTAGCTGGTGTCCCCTCTCTTGTTTTGTTTCACTTCCTGCGATGGGGGGGGATTAAGTACGACAGGCGGTCTCGGTCTGATTCCTAGTGGACCCCTCAGGTTCTGGTTCGCACCACAATGCGATGGTCCAAAGCCCCATAAATCTGAGGGAGGCTGCAGGATGATAAATCATAGACACCACATTCTGCAGCCATGTTAATGTGATAACGAATGAATTATTTTACTTTGCTAACTACCATCGATACCATGATGAAGCACCATTTTATGTGAAACTAACTCGGTCTTCTTTCTCTCTCTCTCTCTCCTTCTCCCCTCTGTCTCTCTGCAGGATGCCAAGTTTGTGGAGGAGAGGAGGAAGCAGCTGCAGGGCTACCTTCGAACGGTGATGAACAAACTGATCCAGACGCTGCCGGAGTTCACCGCCCGGCCCAACAAGGAGAGCCTGCTGTCTCTGCTGCCTTTCTGTCTGTAAGTGGACACACGCTGACATGTTCGATACGGCTTCTTCCCCTTTTATCTGAGCTCGTGTGTGTGAGAGAGAGAGATTCAGGAGAGGGATGCCAGCACATGGTAGCAGGTGGAGGGCTTCTGTCTGTGGACACGTCAATGAAATAATTCATTGAATGCATGCCAGCCGGACTTGATGTTGCAGGATACAAACGGGGAGGATTAATGTCGATTCCCCGGTAAACCCACTTCGCCGCTTCTTCCACTCACACAGTTCACTTATGCAAGTGTATATGTTCTCTCACACGCTCCTTCGCGCGCACACACTCAGACCAGCGAGTGTGAAAGTTCGCGATGCCCTGTCTGCCCACTTACCTACCGGGCGCGTCTGGAAATGAGACGTTCCAGTCATTTCCTGTCAACATTCGTCGGTTTCCACTCACTGCGATCAGTCAGCTGGCGCGACGCCGGCTGACTGGAATGTCATTTCCTCTGTGGGGAGACCTGAGTCATCGGGCTGCGGGACAGCAACGTAGTTCACATGGATGCAGACTTCACTATTTTTCCAATAGTAAGGCCCAAGAATTATCCAAGAACATTTGGTCGCCATGGTAACAGATGTGCACTTTTCCCAGATACAGCGTAAGGAGAAGAAGTTGAGGTGTTCTGCCATCTATTACTTAAACGTGACACACAGTATGCGCTCGATTGGTAATGCTCATCATCAATCATTTATTATTGATTGATTATTTATTGTAGCAGCACCGGTTGACCAGCAGTGACAGGAACATTTTTAGCAGCCATACCAGAAGTTGAAACTGTCATATTAATTTAGTGGAGTATATTGCATGAAATAAAGTATCGTACTTGGATACATTACTGTCATTTCTCCACTGGCTTCAAGTCTGTGTAGTTTGAATGTCTGCGGGTCATGTGACACTGAAGGTGCTGGATGACATCACCAAAACTGTCCAATGAATGAGTTGGGGGACGACGGCTCCCCAAAATATCTCCTGTGGTACATGAACCCAGCCTCTCCGTGTAGTTAATCGGTAGCAAAAAGTTCATGGGTGCCGGGGGTGCAGATCATGCGTCCGACAACAGAGATGCATAGAGATACAGTGTTGTATCTTTCTACCCAAACGCAGTAGAGATGAATTCAACATGTGAGTCTCCACGGGCGGCAGTCCAGTAGCCTAGAATACAAGCTGCCTGTGTAAAGCTCCAAAGCACAGTCTGTTCATTATCTACTCTGCCCCGAGAGGCTCCGTAATCCTCTCCTCTCTGTCGCTGAGCCCTTCCTATTGAAAGGCGCGCAATATTACTGTGACAAGCCGCATCCGTTACTTTCCTCTCCATGCGTCCTCAATCTACTCTGTCTGTCATGGCTGCCGGCGGCCGCTAATTGCTCCCGCTGACGTGGCTCCGCTCCACTTTGTGGCGTAAACAGCTGATGTTAACGGTCACCAACCTTTTGGCCGTGGGACGCTCAGAGAAGCGCAGCGTTCATCAGGAGGCCGTGCACGCGAGCGCCGAGCAGCGGCGAGTTTTGACGGCTGAGGGCCTTTGCTCGCACGTGCAGGTTCCGCTGTGATCGGCCCCGACACCGGACCCCCCCCCCCCCTCTCTCTCTCTCTCCGATGGGATTGCGGCCGACGGCGACTCAACAGCGATCAGCGTTCCGAGGCTCTAGTTTCTCGCCGGTGTTCTCGTGGTGTATTAATGGGTTGACATGATGGGAACCTGCGCAGGTCCAACATCTTCAGCGAGGGATGAAAGCCTGATTAGTCCGCTCATTACCTTGATGAGGGGGAGGGGCGGGGGGGGGGGGACACGGGAAAAGATGCAGCGGTAAGCGAGAAATGCTGTTTGGCCCCAAAAAAGAAACCATACTGGATTATGCAACAACCACGTCTGATCCGAATGAAGAAACATGGGATGCTGTCGTGTCTCAAAGAAGATCCGGGACAAACAAATAAAGGCCCGTTGCCAATGTATGTTGTGTGCAAACGTGGCAAATTCATCAAAATGTTAATTAACGCGACATCAAAGGACTAAACACCAGACACGCTTCCTCCAAAACTTCACCACAACTGTTATATATTTAAATACGTTACACATTATCTGCGTATTTATCCTCTGACGTGACCAAATGGCAACGCCTAGACAAGGATGGAGGGACTTCAAAGCCCGACAGGAGGCGGTTCACTGGGAGAGATGAAGGCCCCGGGGGGCCGCGGAGGGGAAGAAAGCCGGTCTGAGGCGGAGGAAAGAAAGAGAGAGAAGAGGGGTTGTGGTCCAGCACATCAAAGCACTTCATCAGAGCTCCCTAATGGCGCTGCTCTGACCCCAGCTTGAAGTTCAGTCATTGAAAAACTGCGTTACGCGACAATCATCTGGTTGGATTTGTGATTGGCTTCTCAAATTGCCGTGAGCTGACAGGAAACGTGCTCGGAGGCTTCCCGGCACTTTGATTGAACTCATGAGCAGTAAGAGCAGACATTTGATCGCACTGATCCTCGGCAGCGAGCGCTTCTATTTGATCCCGCCGATGTTTCGCCGAGGAGCTGTGAAGATCAGAGGGGATGACATCTCGTGTTTTGAGAAGATCAAATAACTGCTCTCGGGAGGAGCCGCAAAGCGCGTCTGTGGACGCTTGGCCTCCACAGCCACTTGGTCGCGGGTCAGCCCAGATCCACCAGCTTGGTACGCAGCTCGACCTTAAACCCTTTACGCTTTACTCGGAGCTCAAAGCACCCGGGTGTGTGTGGCCCTTGTTGACCTGCTGCCTGTGGGAGAAATGTCGTGGGCCTTCGCCTCATAGTGGAGCGTTCAGACTTCAGAATTGGGATGCAAACCCTTTTTGACGTGCGTGACGTCCGCCTGTGCTCATGCATGTGTGCGTTTGTGTGTGTGTGTGTGTGTGTACTGGGAATAGATTATAATTCAGCTAATCAACACACCCCGCCTTCTGCTGCGAGACAATCAATGTGATGCATGCTTGTGCTTGTGTACCACTTTATCCTAATTATGCACCTCTGCAGTCAAATTATTAATATTCCAGCGGTGCCTGGAAATGTACATCTCGTGCCAGAGGGGGAAAAAAGAACAGTTAGCCCTATTAACAAAGCTCATGCTGTTCCCTTATTATCTGTTCACGCCGTTCCACCGGAGCTGTTTGCGTGGACACTAACGTACTCCAGTTTGAGTCCTCCTCCACGTCTGCGGTTTGAACACGACAGCCTCTCCGTCCTCTTTCTGTGCTGCTTTTTTTTTGTTTTTTTAGCCCCTGCTGCCTCCGATACGAGCATATGGCCCGCACGACACTCTTCCGCCCAAGCACCTCATCATGAGTCCATTTATTTTTAGCTTGTGTTGTTCTTGTGGGAATCAAACTGCAGCATCACCCAGATGTCCCAGATATCCTCAATCACAGCTGGAGCAGCTGGGACGCCTCGCTAAGGAGGCCAGTCGGACGTCAACGGGGAAATGCCCTCTGCCTCTTCATATATCTATTTTTTATATATTAATCGAAAGTCCCTTTGTCAAACAAGCACTTGAACCCACATTTTAACCCAATCACTGCTCCATCAGGAGCAGCAGGGGAGATGAAGTGCTTCAGAAGAAATGTAACAAGAAAGCATTTAAGCGGAACGATTCAGTCTCCCTGCTTTCCTCTTGAGTGTCTCTCGTTCGTCCTCGTTCGTTATCAGATTCAGGGATCAGGGGGGTCTCACGTTGCGGAGACGGTCGTCAGGGTAACCGGGGCGATGATGTCATTAGGCTCGCTGAGATGATTTCCTCCTGATTAATGAGGGGGCCTTGACATCATCATCTGATCAGGAATGTCTAGAATTTGATGCGTCGTGTCATTGTTAACGGATTGTGGGAGAGAGGGCAGCAGTGATGAAGACACTGGTGGGATCGCCAGAAGTGGATGTGACTACAATGGATTGATCGATGAAGATCGCAGAATATTATAGCAAAAATAAACCATAAATACAGTATATTAATTCAGCTTTGGCAAAGTCCCTCCCCTAACTAATCTTAGCAACTCTAACTGGGCACAGAGTGGCCTCCTCCACATGTGAGTTGTAGCAATACTACAAGAGGTTGGTCTCTTGTTCTACCCTCCAAAACTGAAACACAACAGAAAAGGTCCAATAAAATATTCAAACAGTTGTTTTATTCATGTTATTCGTGTGCATTGTTAGCCTGTCCTTCTGACCTGTAGCTGCCCCTTTGCACATGTCCCGCTGTGCATTTTAAAGGAACCTGAAACATGTTTTCCAGTGAAATGCTCTGGATGCTTTGCCCCTCTTAGTGTGCCGGCGCCTAGTTGGGGGGTGGCGGCATTTGGTTTAGAAGCAGTCATTTTCCTGCCGTGTAACGAAGTAACGCAGGTTATTTTTTGGGCCTGTGACTTACTTTTACTTTGTTTAGCCGACACAAAGTGTGATTAGTTCACTTCCAAGGAGCCTTCTTGTTTGTATTTGTAGGCGACTTGGGAACATAAACACTTACTAATATTAACTAATGTGTAACGTGCAGGTGTTTGTAAAACTCCCTGCACGCGAACCCAAAGGCCGCATTTCCAACCCACTCACAGAGATTACATTAACGTTTTCCACTTCTCCATTCTGCTTCTCTTTATGCGCAGTTAATGCAGAATCCTTTAGATTCACCTTATTCTGTGCATGAACGCGTCTCCATTTGAAGCTCATGTTGGTGTCGCTTCTCTGTGAAAAGGTCCTGTGGCAGAAGGGAAATGATGCATTTAAGTCTCCAGATGCGGCACCAGTGGTTTGTTTGAATAATAAGTTGGGTAACGACCTTGGCCAGATGTTCATTTAAAGCCCGCGGCTCTTTTCTTCTCCCTCCTGCTGTTTCCTCTCATCCAGAGACTCGCCGCAGGCCAACGACGGTGGATCCAAGACGCCGCGGTCCAAAACCTCCTCCCGCTTCCCGAGACTGGGCCGCAGCCGCAACCAGGAGGCCAGACCTGAACCCCAGAGTGGCGACCTTTAACCCTCCTCCATCAGCAAATGATCTCTCGCTGTGCGTTCCCTAGAAACATTGGGGGTGTCTAACGGACCGTCAGAGGCCAGCCGACGGGACGCGATCCCATCGCAGGACTCTCTCTGAGAAGTGTAAACCTGCCTGTGCACCACCTGGCCGAGCAAAGGACGATGACCCCCCCCCCCCCGAAGCACCTCTGTACTGTGCACAGGAACGTGGCACAGTGAGCACGATGAGGCGATGGAGAGGTGTTATTCCTCTAGTGGTGAAGGCGTTTCTTGGTCACCGTGCGTCAGTGTTAAGGAGCTGCTTGCCGGCTCGGGGAAAGTGTGGCTTTAAGTATTATGTTGGGAAATTAATTATGCCTTTCAGCTTGTGTGTCAGTATTATAGTGCCATTACATCTTCAGGGACGATATGATTCACCGTCTCCGGCGAGGAGCATAAGGCGATGGGTTTTACTTCTGTTCCATTATATTAATAAGGCTAATGGATAATCTGCAGAAAAACAGGTCTTTGTGTCATCGGGGATCCAGTGGTTATCAAAAGCATCTTTTAAATGACACACAATGGTTCTCATAATGGAGGATCTTCTCCACAGTACATCCCACCTTCATTTGGAAAAAATTAAATGCAACCTAGTTCATCTAAATTCTGTCAATAAGTACTGGGATATTACAATTTGCTTAACCTCCTTTCAACTAGAAAAAATAAATGTCGTTAAAAGTGGAATTTACAAATTCAACAAAATTCTAGCCACTATTTTTTATTTAAAGTAAAGTGTTTTCCTGCATTAATTTGCACGTAAATGTATTCTTCCGATTGTTATTTTCATATAATAATACGCCATAGTGATATTTTCAGTATAATGTTGATTTTTCTCATCTTTTGCTTTGTGAACAAAGGCATCAACAATTCGGAGGCTGCGTCGCAAGTGGCAAACTTTATCACTCCTCTCAACCTCGACAAAGGCCGACCACGTGCACAACTTGTTTCATTTTTGTAATTAAACAAACCCTCTGTGTGTGAAGGCCTCAACATAATTAAAAGTGACAAAACTTTAGTTAAATTAACAGTCAGCTTCAAAAACTGCAGGCTAAAGAGAAAACATTTGATCACCTGTTGAAGTCTAGTGGACCGATGGGTAAATTGAAACAGGTACAGAGGACTGTTGTCCCCCCATGACCCACTCTGAACCCTTAAAGACATTTCTCATAGTTTTTGGACAGTCCCGTTTTGAGGAAGTTAAAAACATAAATACGTACATTCTTTCGGATTCCAAAGTTTCTCTCCACATCTCTAAGCTGACTCCTGCTGTGATTTACACAATCATTGTTTGTCAAATAGTCTTGAGCACAAAGCAAGACTGATGGATAAGCTGTGTTTGTGTCATCCCCACTATGACTACAGGACACTAGATCACATGGATAAGGGTCCTCATCACAGGTCGGCTGCCTGTACAGACATTGACTTTGCAATGTTTAAAGAATGTTTAACTAATGTGTCTTAGCTGGATTTAAAGAGGGGTATTTTGGCGAATAAATGCTTTAATGAGACTAAACACTTGAAGAAAAGCTGCTTGGAAAAGGGCTGCTGAGCATCTAGTGTGTGTGAAACAGAAGCTCATGCATATGTATGACTCCCCCCAAGAGCAGTCAGAGACGTCGAGTAAACGAGGACCGATCGCGTTAGAAGGTTGTCGGATAACTGGAATCAAAGGGTCGTCTGCGAGGGGGCGGGGCCTGTGACTGTCAATGAAGGGGCGGGGCCTGTGACTGTCAATGAAGTTGTTATTCTCACAGGGGGAGCGGGACCCTCACAGGGATCCGTCTGCAGGAGAACACGAGGACATGTGGGGGACATTCTCACAGGGTCACCGTCAACGAAGGAGACCGAGCATATAAACCTTTTTGAGATGTTTTTTCTTTTCAATTGGAGAAAAAAAAACTTTCACTGCTGTTGCTTTCTGTCAAGAACATGTAATCTGTGACATTCTTTTTATTAAAGACTCTTTTCTGCTGTGATGTTTTGGAGGTACTGTAGCCCTCATCTTCAGACGTCTCCTCTTGGACCACAGGTGGGTGGAACTAGCTGCTCTCGTATCCGTGTGATCCATGTCGTACTCCGGCCATTTAGGGTTTCTCTCCCATTACGCTCCTTCGCAACTTGCATACTTTTTTAAAAGGATCAAGGTGGACGCAACAGAACAGAACTTCACCCTGGCGCCCACGTCACTCACATCGCCACGAGACGGACACAGTTTGGGCCAGATGTTCGGTCAACAGGAGCAGTGTTTAGAACTGCAGTCACTGAGGTGACGTCTTTCCTGATCTGATCACAAACCTCAGCATTCTTTTCAAAGTCTCCTTCCCAGAATCCTCCTGGCTGGTAGAGATGTTGTTGTGTACGTTTCTGGCCTTGGTTCAGCAGTCTCTATCCATCAGTGTCTCACCAAAGACGGGCTGGACAATAAAGTGCACTTTGCTGTAATTGTATTGCCTCGTACTGTGCAAACAGTCACCACGCAACACGTAGTATATTTTTGTGTGAATGCGTGTCAGTGCACCCGCTCGCAGTCCCACATGCGTCTGCTGCAGCGCGTTTGTGTGGCGGGGGCAACGCGTCAGCGCTTGCATTATATTGCGCGCATGCACCTTCTGCACACATGGATGGATAGTTGCTGTGAGTTCCATCTGTGGCCCTCGCCGCATCGCTGTAGCTTGTCGAATGGTTGTTAAACTTTCACCGCTCTGCTAAGCAGTCTCTGCGCTTTCATTCAATCCTTCCAAAGGCACTTTTAGGGGGGGGCTGGGGGGGCTGCATTTTGTCAGGTTGGTACAGAGGACAATGGACAAACGGTCATTGTCCGGTGACCAGGACATTGTTTACAAGCCCGTTGAGAAGTGGACGGTGGACTTGGGCAGCGTTGGGCCGATGCACACGACTCGATGCAGCAAGTTCTCTGAGCGCCGACACAAACGCGTCTCCTGCAGTCTTTCTATTGTTTTCATGCGTTGGCTTTTGGAAAAACCAGCTATGTTGTCGTGAAATATGCATTTTATGGGAAGCTTTGCCTGTTTATAACTGATGTGAGTCTTGTAATCTGGTAATTGGCCGCGTAAAAGGAGATGTAAGGGTCACACATCGGGGGACGAGTCTGACTTCCCATTAACCGCTGAGGGAAAACACCTGAGAGACGCCAGGAGGGGAATTGTTCCATTATATTTCTGTTGCCCCATGAAATCAAACCTGAACTGGCTACACAAGAGACGCCAGGCCTGCGTGAACGCTACAGGTGAGTGAGACCTGTTCCTCCCAGAAGGAGAGACGGCGGTAAACTGGTGACCAGCAGCTCACATCTGTACCCATTATAACCAGTATAACCACCTTTAATAACGCCGTCTCAATCCCAGGCTGACTCGCACTTCATTCACTATACAGAGGAGACTGGAAGACATTTGAGAACGCTCCACTAAGCGGTTTCACGTTGATGCTTTCAGGCAGTGCCCCCCCCCCCCCCAGATGGAGTTGTCCTGATTCAACTTAAACCATACAGTAAATATTCTGCAGTTCAGATTAAAGTGAGTGCCGTCGTTGCAGTTTGCGTGCACCGATCCTGCTGACTGAGGCATAATATCTGTACGGCTTGTGCTGTATTCACAGACCGGTCAATGTCCTCCGGATGCTGGATACACGCGTGTGATTATTCCAACGGCAGCACACGGCTCGTATGGTTCAGCTTAAGACCAAAAAAAGAAAATCCTTGAGTTTAAATCTTCTCAAACTTAAGACTGAGAGCTTTTTTAAATTATTTTTTTTAAAGATGAAAGGAGGATGTTGTTATTCATTAGTCGGGTAAGATGCTGAGGAACATGTCTGAGGTGGATGCAGAGAAGGTGAGCAACCTTCTGAGAGGTGTTTTGCCGCGGCAGCTTGAGCCGATCACGTTTTATTATTTATTCATGAATCTTTTAAAGGAGTGAAAATCTTTTTTTTTTTCTCCTACATATCAGTCCGAATGGACGTAGTTTCCATGCATGCATTTCATTCCTCCTCCTCCATGTCGAAGCTATTTGTTACTATACCTCCTTCCTTGTCCCGTTCCCCTGGCGAACCTGGAAGACATGGACGTCCCTCTTGCATTTTTACAGGACTTCATGCAATTACCAAGCTCTTACCTCAGTGTGGGGAACACGGAGGAGACGGGGACCCTGGTTTAATCCGAGGTCACTGCATAAGCAGCGCTCCAATCTCCGTAATGCACAATACCCGCCTGGCATCAGGGCGCGTTCATCATAATGATAAAGAACAAGGCGGAGGTCTCAGGCGCCCTGTGGACAACTGCCCCTTCAGCAAGGAGCTTCCTAATAGAAACCCAGATCAGCGCGGGCTTCATGTGTGAGCTCAGCAGAAGGCCGACGGCGGATGTCCCTCAGAGATGGAGCTAGATGGAGCTGCATGGGGCTGAAACGCTTGCGTCAGTGGTTACAGGAACTCTGGCGTGTGCGGCTTTTGATTCTGCTGGGGCGTTTTGCTTATTCGTTAAGGATACTTTTTATTTCCCCAGTTTGCTGATTAAAAAAAAAGTAGCTGGTGTGTGTGTGGAGCATAAACAGCTTCCGCTGGAGCCCCGCAGTCTCCGGCCAGGACCACCTCAAGCAGGGAAAAAGGCTGAAGGCCTCCTGCAGCTTCAAAGAGTCCATGATGGACTCCTGTAATCTGCCAACAAGCTCAATGGAAAGCAAACAAAGTGGCGTGTGCGTCTGCGGTCGTATTTCACGTCACCAGAATGATTCCCTTGCTTTTTGTGCGTGTGATTCAATGCCGGTGAAGTGGACTTTTGTGTTTGTTCAGAGCACCGAAGTCCCGGCTCTTCTGTCTCATTCATGCTCAGTTTATTGATTCAGCGTCCGGCTTCCAGACGAATACACACGTCCAATCACGGTCGTGTCCAACTCCAATTCTTTGGTCTTCTTTGATGTCTTTTCTCTCGCTGATTTGATCCTTTATAGAAGAAACATGTGCGCCACTTGTCATCCCCGCCGTCGTGTGCAGTGCTGCACGTGACGATGTTCCCTCTTGGAGCCTGGACTCTATTTCACGGCTGCTGTTGGTTTTCTTAAATCTCCCCGGGTTTTATTATTAATTGTCCAATCCGTCGCTCCCACAGCCTCCTGTCCTCCGTGCCGGCAGCAGCTGAATGGACGGCTCGCCTAATTCCCTGCAGATGCTGAAATGCTCACGTGCTCTCAACACGCAACACCTTCTCAACCTCTCGCTGCCTCTGCTCTCGGTTCTGTTTCTCTCCTCCTCGCTCGCTGTAAACACGTCCCCCTTCTCTCCTCCTCGGGCATCTTATCGCGCTCCTGTCCCTTCCCTTCTTTTCCTTCTTCTGTCCCACTAGTTTCCCCCTTTCTCCCCCATCACTCTGATCTTTTCTCTCCTCCAAATTCTTTCTACCTGCCTCCCCCCTCGTCTCCTGTCCCCCCCCCCCCTCGTCCTCTCTTTCTCCCCTTCTCCTGTCCCCTCTGAGACCTGTTTAACAGGTTGTATTTACTCAGCCTGTCACTGTGTTTAACACCTACTCAGCGAGAGGCCATTCGGAGGACTTTTCCCTCCAACTCACAGATTGATTTTGGAATTTTCATTTTCAATGTATTCAATATGGAGCATTGTCTCCTTCCCGTTATGTTGAGTCCACATGACCTGGTTTCAGGGAGCAGGAGGGGGGGACGTGCAGATGGATCACCTCGGGGTCTCTACTGAGGGTCCGTTTCTGTCGTATCTTATCTGAATTAAATCTCAAATTAAAGGAATTAGATCAGAGGTCTTCAACAGGGGGTCCGCGACCCCCAAGGGGTCCGCGAAGGTACTGCAGGGGGGTCGCAAAATTTTTGGTTGATAAGACAATTTTTTTAAACAATTTTTTTCCCCGCAAATGTAAATGTCTTCAGAATCAGAATTTTATTTATGGTCTTTAAATACACATTAACATGAATCCAACATATTGAAGCGAACGGATAAATTGATGGAGAAGACGTTATCTGTCAGTCCGCAACACACACATTCAGCTTCCCTCAGCAGCTCTCAAGCTGGGCACCGGTTCACTCACAGCTCCTTTCATGCGAATACGGCAGCGCAGGCACCAGCCAATCAGATCGCGTTCATGCTCACGTCTAAAGAGCGTGAAGCTCAAAAATAAAAGATGGCGGACCAAACTCCGTAGAATAGGGGGTCCCTGCTCCACCTCGCCATCAGTTTGGGGGACCTTGGCTTGAAAAACGTTGAAGACCTCTGGATGAGATTGTTTACAACGATAGTCAATTATGGAGACGTAAGCAATTCACTGTGTGCTTCATCCCTGAGCTGACGGGGACGTGCTTCAGCGTCACGGCAGCACGCCGGATGTGATGGCGGATGTGCTGATTCTCCGCATGTGATGTTCCTTCCCAGATGACTTTAAAGACAAACAAGAAGTGCGGACTCTCGTAGCTCTCACGCAACATGAAAACCAAAAGGTTTGCTGAGGTTTGCTGTGCGTTGAGTCCACTGTGCCGTCTACAAGCCGCCTTTGCCTTGAATCAAGACGCATAGATATTTCTTCATGAACGTAAGCATTTAAAACACGCGTCACCTGCTGCTTCGTTTCGATCTACGCATCAAAACCACGGAGTTTAGTTTGATGATAATGACGTTGATGCAGTCAAGGTTCTTAACCGGGATTATTAGTTATAGTTTACGTTACCAAAATGAAGGCGGCCACCTGTCTTGGAAAGAAAACCCTCCTGGGCAAGAGGAGCCATATTAACAAAGAGTAACTAGTAATAGTAATGATAACACACAGTTGGACCCCCCCCGCCCCCCCCTCCCGCTGATCCCACTGGTGTTCTGAGTCCCATCTGAAACTCATTAGATGTGTGAAAAGTCTGACACATCACACGTTTTCTCCAAGAGTTTGATGCACTTCAAGAGTTCTGATGCAGTGACAACTGTGCAATTTGTGCTTCGTTGAGTTTCGCTTTAC